GACCCTCGGGAAAAAGAACATGGGGCCCCCTCCTCTGCCCAGAAGGCTGCAGACCCCAAGTTCTATTAATTCATTCACTCATTCATATTCATTCATTCAGCAAATATTTATTTCTGCACCTTCTTTGTGCCCATCGGGGAATGGGAAATGCACCATCCCTGCTCTTGCAGAGTTTTTAGTCTAACAGGAAAAGACCAAAAAGAGGAAACAATTGAATAAGCGAGATGATTTCAGAGAGAATAGGAGTTGGAATGTTTGCAGGGAGAGTCTCCTTTGGATGGAGGTCAGGGAAGGGTCCTCAGGTGAGATTATATTGGAGTTGAGGCCCAAACAATGAGAAGGATCTGGCAAAGATCTATGAAATAGGCTTCCAGGCAGCTGAAATGGGAAGTGCAAAGGCCCTGAGGCAGGAGGCCAGGTAATGAGAGTCAAAGGCCCCGAGGCGAGACTGGAGAGATGACGAAGCTGACCTTGTGGGGCCCTGTAGCCTTGGTGAGGAGCCAGGCTTTGTCACCATGGCAGTGGGAAGTCACTGGAGGGTTTTAAACAGGGGACGGAGATAGCCTGATTTTATGCTTTACGAAGAAAACTGCTTTGGCTGCCGTGAAGAAAACAGAAGAAAGGGAGGCAAGAATGGAGGTGGGAAAGCAAGTTGGCCAGGGCCCCAGGTCAGAGCTGGCAGGGCAGATTAATGAGGGGAGGCATCAGGCCCTACAGGCCACAGACAGCCCCAGTTGTCAGCTCTTAACAGAGGAGTGCCTCTCTGAGGAGCAGGTGTTCCAGCAGCCTAGCCTGGAAGCCTGTATCCTTTACCTTCTCGAAAAGAATGAAGCCACGGGCCAGAAGGGAAACTGCATGGCTCAGGGCCCCCAACAGCTACAGTTTTAGGGTAGACGTGTTGTTTTTTTTCCCAAAATATAAGCCCTTTCTTTCCTTCTTTCCTCCCTCCCTTCCGTCCTCCCTCCCTTCCGTCCTCCCTCCCTCCCTCCCTCCTTGTGCAGGCAAGCGGCACATCCTAAAGACCATGTCCAGGATTAGGAAGGAAGGGCTTGTCTGGAGAGCTATCTGACAGCCCAGCTCCTGACACAGGAGAAAAATGGGTCAGAGCGGGTGAAGGATGGGATAGGATGAAATGCAAGTAACATGAGGTGGAGGGATACAGCTCGGAGCTCAGAGGCGGAGGGGGAGCTCAGTGGTAGAGGGGGTGCTTAGCCTGCAGAGGTCCTAGGTTCAATCCCCAGCACCTTCATTAAAAGAAAAGGGAAAAAACACAAAGCAACATGAAATCTTGCAGCAGGCACCCCAATGTCTGCTTGGAAGGTCAAGCTGAGGACATGAACTGCCTTACTCCCAGGTTTCCTTGTCTACCCACTTCTGCTTCCCTCACCTCTTTTTCTCCTCCCCTCCCCTCCCCTCCCCCTCCCCTTCTTCTTTACTCCTTCCCATTTCATTTTTTATAGCTGATTTACATCTATCTCCCATTTTAAATATGTCTCCTTTGAGTCCATATTATTCAACAGGATAGTAGCTT